AGGAATGTAACCAGTTAACAGACCCCAACATTGTGTTTGACTTGCTGCAAGTTTAGTTTTAATAAGATGTTCCTAGGGACCGAGTCAAAAGCAGATGTATAGTCTAGGAAGGCACAACGAACAAATTTAGCCCCCTTGTCTAGACTGGAAGCAATGTTATGATATAAGACGGCGGGTGCATCTAAAGTGCTTCTACTGCACTGATTTATAGGCAAATTGTTTACGGTCATTAAAGGATTTAAGCGAAGAGGTACAAGACTAAGTAAGAGTAATTTCTCCATAGTTTTCAAAAATAAATTAAGTATGTAAATATTGCCTTCAATCTTAATTGATAGATTATAATATAATATCACAACTAACGTCAATGTTTCTCATGATGTCTATTGACATGCATGCGGATTTCATCTTGTTTCCTTTAGCGATAAACAATACTATATATATATATAACGCTAGTGTGTTATTATATTTGTACTTAACTTGGATTGGAATGAGTTATTTAGGCGGTTGGATTTTATTTTGTCCCCTCTTATGCACACCCAGCACCACTTGCCCTCCCCCCCAGACCCCTCAACTCACCCGTCTGTCCTTCGTTTTCTCCAATAGAGGCTAAAAAAACACAACTGTAGTATTAGTTATTAGTTTTACTGCTGTATGTTTTCAGAGCAAGGCGAAATCTTTCCACGTCTGACATTTATACGTATATTTTCAAGTTATATTATGTCTTGTTATTATTACTGTTATTGTTATTAGGATTGACGTGATGCCTTTTCTAGTATGCATTGCCTTGATTTCAGTAGTTGAGTGACTCGTACAAATGAAGTCATGATATACTATTTGATATACTAATACTACTCATAATAATAATAATAGTAGTCGTCGTCATTGAATGACAACTGTCAGATAGAGTTCTACTTTCATGAGAACTATTCATTATTATTTCTTATCTTGACGATTTAACTCATTTTGAATTGACAATTCACTTTACACTTCCTGTTTTTTTTTCTGTTTTTTGTTGTTGTTGTTGTGGTTCTTGTTCTTGTTATCTTGACTTGCTTTCCGTTTTGTCATTCATTGTTTTGCTTTGACTTACTACTAATATCAAACTGTTAAAAATTCGTATCTTATTGAAAATTAAATTTTGTTTTAACTAGGATAGTAGTCTAGTGGAGGCAAGCACAGTTCATATAATTTTAATAATAATAATTTTATTTCAAACAGTATTGTCATTATTGTCTGCCTTAGTTCCTAGAGGACCAGAGGGCTTCAACCGCACGTATCTCCATTACGTTTTGTTCTCCACCAACGTTTTCATCACCTGGCTCCACATATGCTCACATGCCTACATCATCTCCTCGTCGTATGACCTCCTCCTCCTCCATGTCACCCTGGCACTAACGACCAACTAGCTCGCCGCTTCCCATTCGTGTTCCATTCGAGTGATGGCCTGAATTGGGTTGTACAGTTGGTTCCTTGTTGGTTTTTTGGTTTGTTCGTTTCCAGAGATCCGTGTTGCTGATGTTTTTTCGTTGGCCATCTGATTTTGAGTAGTATTGAACAAAGATAGCTGTTGATGAAGGTGTGTAGCTTGTTCTAGTTGACTTTTGTGACGCTCCAATTCTCTGACTTCACATTGGAGCTGAAAATCTGGATCTTATTTTTCATTTTCATGCTGAGCTATGTTGATCTTCACATAGACAAACACTATTTACTACAATTTAATAATAAAGAAAATAAAATGAGAAGGGACGTTTGCCTAGTGTTTCCCAGAAAGGCAGGCAGTAGTGTCATACCTTACACTTTTATCATCATGTGAATATGTACCAAATAAGGTATCTTAATCGTCTGAACATAGCGTCTTCTATAATTGCTTCTAATTCTGCCTGCTTGAGAAGATGCAAGGTGAAAGTTGTGTGTATAGAGAGGATGCCTAAAGCCAAAGACAGGATAATATTTACCGATTTCCTTGAATGAATTCATGTGTGTATTTACAACAGTATTAATGAGTTAGTTGGTTCAGTGACATTTCACTTGCCCTACTGACAGGTTTAAGTGCCCTGCTCAGTGTAAACAAAGTGTTTCTTAAGTAGTAACCCAGGAGAGATTGAGACTGGATGGGGGGGAGAGCAATGAAAAAGAATAGGTAGAATAGAGGAATTAACAAACTGTAGAAGTAGAGAGTGAGTATGCTACCAAATCGTCTTAACTTCCCTAGCTAGATGGTTAGATGAAATACTTTTCTAGGCATCAACCTGATATAGGAAGACCAGGAGAGATAAGAGCAAGTAGACAGTCCAAGGTATTTCACATTCAACTTAGTTTCAACCTCAGTGCCCTCGGTGATTGATAAAAGACGAACTAGTTTATATAAATCGTATTTATATTTCTGGAAGCAATAATTAACAACCTGACTGACATTTTTAAGGGGGATTAAGCTTAAGACCATTTGACAGGGACTACTGACTAATTTCTGATAGAAAGTTATTCATTTTCGACCAATCTGACTAAGAAGTAATCGCCTCGGTGCGTGTGTGTCTAAGTTTGTGTGAGTGGCGTAATAATCAAGTTGTTGTGTGTCGGTGGCACAGTGGTTACTACTCTCGCCGACCATGAACATGGTCCGAGGTTCGATTCCCTGCAGACGCAAACCTGCTATCTATGGTCAGCCTGCAAAATTTGGGCTACCGATATACATCCATGCTGAAAATTCCATACGTGTACCAAAAATACAGTGTGGAATGAAGCTGTAATAAAAAAAATAAATAAATAAATAAAATAAATCAGATCACCAGCTTCCGTAGTAGAATTGGCCTTGTCAGAATCGGACAATTCATGTTAGGAGAAAAAAACAGGGTTGGAAGAAAGAACAACACAATTTGAGGAACACCAGCTAGAGTAAATGAAGCAGTGGAGGGCTTCTCATTAGATACAATGTACTACTTTCTATCAGAAAAGTAAAAATGCAACACCCCACTTGTATGTCTCAGCAAGCTTGTTCAACAGAAGAGTCCTTGTTTGAGAGTCAAAGGCAGATGTGTAATCCCGGGAGGCACTCTGATGAACGTATTTGACACCTTTGTCTAAATTAGAGGCGATATCATGAAGTAAGACATCAATGACATTTAAAGTACACCTACGATGTTTATGTTTTCGTTTATCATTATTCATATTATTACTGGTCATCTAATCAGGTTAATCCTTAAGGTGGTCTCAATAAAGCTGCCTGTGCTTTAGATTCATTCAAAAGAGAATGAAGGATACTGCTTGTCTTTGTAGAGTTGTTTAAGTGTTATACAATCAGAAAAGCTGATCAGTAGTCGGCGTGTTACAATGCGGAATCTGCACAAACCTAATTTGTTGCTTGATACCACCATTTATAGTAACATACATGAGTTGACATCAGTTAGAGAACCATTGGAAAACCTAAGAGGAATGGACAGCTGTTCATATCATTCTAGTTTGAAACTCCTCACCAGTATGCACTCCCTGGTATTCGAACCCAAGAATCCCTGGTTACAAGGTGACCTCGTAGATCATTCATTCACTGAGACCCTATCCAATGGCCCATGAATTCCTACTTCTGCCAATTTGTAAGATATATATATATATATATATATATATATATATATATGTAGAGAGAGAGAGAAGAGTGATGATCAGGAAGGCTTCGTGTGCTTTTGGAAGTGTGTGGGCGATTGTTACTTCCCGGCAGCTCACACCGTGGAAGTGGGTGGATTCTTCGGGTACCTGAAACAGAGAGAGACAGTTAGTGTAGCGTCACCGCAGAGCCCAGGGGGCAACTGCTTCAGGCCGGCCGGTCATACATGGCCTGTATGAACTGGTTTCTGGGATTAGTTCCGTATCAGTAAACTTGCCGCCGGTTACGGACCACTGTAGGTGGGATAAGTCGGGATGTATAATTTCTGGGGTCGATCTTTTGTAACCTCCTCCCTCCAGAGCGAAGAGATAGCATAACTGGTTGGGATTTTGGTTATCTGAGGGAAACACCTCACTGATGTTACACCCCTGTTCCCCAGCAGTACGACTTCGCCCTCAAATCCCCAGTATAGTGTCAGAGAGATTGTTACACTATTCCGGTAACTGCTTTTAGTCTAATCGCTATCCTAACGATCTTATTGGCATGGTAGGAACTGCAGGAACGATAGTTCCGGCCTGTGTAGCTTGTTGGGTCATTGCGATATGCAAGCCAGACTACCACGTCAAGGTAGCAGCTATCGGTTGGGGATGGTAAAAACCAGTGGCTGGAGACAATCGGTGGTATGGCTCAAAATCGTTCTCAATGGCCGGCATACATGCATCCACTTCTCGTGACTTATGATTTCCAATGAAACTATATTGTTCTTCGTTATTACTATTCCTTTTGTGTCATATCCCTGTTTACTGTTTCTGTTTTACATTTCTTCTACTTTATGTTGGTTTGTGTGCTACATGGAGAGTGTGTGGCGACTTGAACTTCCGCACATATGTGCAAAGCTCTATGTTTGAAAACAGGCAGACAGAGAGAGAGAGAGAGCAACCACCAGCCAATGTGGTTTGGGGTTCGATCCCCGGCCGATGCACTCGCTTAAGCTAGTAATAAAACCGGTAGATATGGAAGGTTGGGCATGAGTCGGCTAATAACCCCTGCTAACTGATGTCAGCGCCTGGTCTAATCTGTGCCTCGGTGGTACAGTGGTTAGGTCGCTCGCCGACCATTCACATGGCCCGGGTTTCGATCCCGGGCCGACGCACACCTGATATCAGTGGTCAGCCTGCAAAATTTAGGCTACTGATATCACATGCTGAAAATTCCATCCTTGTACCAAAAATACTGTGTGGTGTCAAGGTTTAAACAAAATTAAATTAAAAATTTGCTGTGTAACCGACTCGAGAATGATGAGTTAGTTGAGATACTGTGACGTGTAGGTAGGTGTTGACTAGGTAGGGTGTTGAACGTCTTCCTCTTTCCTCTCTAATGTTCTTTTTATTTTTTATTTGTGTAGGTATCAAGTACTTTATCAACTTGGTGTATTTATTTCACGATCGTCTGTCAGCTTTATTCATATTGAATCCACTTGGCTGTTGTCTTTGTTACAGGTTAGTGCCTAGTTTATAATCCACGCATAGCTTTCAATTTAAATTATTAATAATATCTATTTCATACAGGCTTATTTGTCGTCTTGTGTAGTTTGTAGAATTTTATGTTAGATAGTTGTAGTCAATTGGCAGGACTCCCTGAACCTAGATTTCATGCTTGTTCGCACTCGTCCTGAGAGCATATCTCCAAGTTTGAAGGAACTCTAGGTTTGAACTCGCATCACTCAGTGCTGCAGTTAAAAATATTTTCACTGAGCTATTTCAGATCTCAGTTGACCTCCTCCTGTAGGGGTATAATGGATATATTAGTTGACTGCAACCATCTAAACATTTGGTAGTTCGGTGATAGAATGCTCATTCACGTGGTCCAAAGTTTGACTCCCTGGCCAATAACTTAACTTGATGACTATATATACATATATATATATATATATATATTGCAAGATCCTATTAGCACCCCAATATCAAGGAATTTTGTTCTTCTTTCACGTGTCCAGTGGAACATACGGCTGCACGCTAGAGGCTTAAAGTTTCTGTAGCAGTGGTGTTTATTTTTACAGGATGGGGTTGCTAGCCACCTCATGCCCAACCTTTCTGCTTTACCAGTCTCACTACTGACTGGCTTAGCGAGATAAAGGAGTGCGTCGGTGGCCGGTGGTCGGTAAGCGTCTTAACTGCTGTGCCACTGACACACTATCAAGGAATAAACGCATGAAATTGACTACTTCTTAGTGTGTTTAATCAATGTCTTCTTCGATCAATTAATTGTTCATTATTGATCATTATTGTCACATTTTACTTGTTTATTTATTTTTTGTTGTTGTGTTTTTCTAATCTTATAGGCTATAAATTTTGTGATATTTTTATTACAAGTAATGTATGCGTATATTCCATATATATGGATTATATTCATATTGATACTTTATGAAGGCTGTCTAGGCGGTCTAACCTATGTGAATACATTTTATAATATTATACAACGTGTAAGTTCAAAATGTTTGTTGTCTGTGTATTTTTATGAGAGAAACAATAAAATATTTGGTTACGGGATCTCATCATGAGCTGATATCAGTTAGAAAACCATGAAATGTTCACTAGCGACTGGCCCTTGGGTTCTATTAGTGGGCGTGAGGAAAAATACTTGCCAGCCATGATATTGGCTAGTAGTCGCACTACGTCGTGAATTGGGATATTGAATCGGGTTCCAGTAGCTTAATCGTCTACGAGCTAGCTCGCCGTGTAATCAGAAAGTCGTAGGTTCGAACCCTGGAGGTGTGTGTGTACTGATGAAGAGCCCTAAATGAATGAGCTAGGACAAAGCAACTGGCTGTCAAGTACTCCCTGCAGGTATTGAAGTGTTCCTCTAATTGATGTCAGTTCATGATGAAATCCTGTAACCAATTAATCAATCAGATCTCTACAAACCAATACATGAATAAAATGTTTCTGTACTAATGTATTACATGTGTAAAACTTGAATACTGTAATACCACTTAATTCTGTAGTAGAGGTTTGATAACTAGCTGATATCAGGTAGAGATAACCACTAGGAAACCAGGGAATACTGGACAGCCGTTTCCTCCTATTTGGGGATGAGGTTTGAGTCCAGGAGCTTCAGGTTACAAAGCGAGCTCTTGCAGAAGTTGTGACCTGCGGGCTGTCCACCAAATGCGGCAAGAGAATAGTTACTTGGCCATAACATTGGCTGGTGGTTGCGCTGTGTGTCGAGAATTAGCAGAAGTTGGAATTCAAAGGTCATTGGATCAGGTCTCGTCGTCGGAATGATACTACGAGCACGCCTTGTAACCAGAGGATCTTTGGTTCGAACCCCCCCCCCCAGTGGGAGCGTCATGATGAAGCATCTCATTCTGGGAGGAAACAGTTTTTCATTACCAGTACCTCTCGACTTCGCAGTTGCCCACTAACTGGTGTCAGCCCATGGTTTAACCTGTGCGCCTGTGGCACGGCGATTAGGATTCTCGCCGACCATGCACATGGTCTGGGGTTTGATTCCCTGCTGACGCACACCTAACATCAGTGAAAGTAGTAGAACGGGGCCAGTCAGACTAGCCGAACATAAAAACCTAGCAGCAAAATCTAGATCGGTTGACCCGAATAAGATAAGAAATGTCGAAAATAGTTCAGCTATGGCACTCACTACATCGCAGTTACACACAACCATACAATTGAACGGGTGGGATAAGATGAAAGTTTTGAAATCTAATGTAGCATAGTGGAGGGAGAGATTGATAACAGAAGCTTTGTTTATCGAATCAAATGAAGAGAATGCGTGTAACAGGAATGATTCAACACTTGTCCAGCCAGATATCTGGAAAATTCTACTAACCCAACGACGACAAATAGGAGAGAACAAAGAAAGCTATGAAACTCAAGTTTCAAAGTCGTGTGATTATAATTGATGGCATAATTATGAACAATAATAAATTTTGTTCACTGTTGGCGATATATCTAAAAAACAAACGGAAGCAAAAGTAATTTAGTCAATTCTTAATCTGATCTATTTCGCTTGCATTTCAAATTGATGTTCAGTTGTTCAAAACTACTCAGTACAGTCAACAGTGGTACTAACTAGTCACTGAATGGCAGTTTCACTCATTTGGCGCAGAGTTCATCAGTGGTATACGTGACATGACTCAGCTTAAACAGTCAATTCGATCCAAACCCCCTGAATTCTAGTTGACTACTTGAGCGGACTGATGATATATATACATGGAATCGAATTCACAATTTTACAAATTATACACTTCACTAGAGTTCCATCTGAAATCCGAAGTTATTCATATCACACTGTATGAACTGATTGATGCAGGGTATGGTAACCAGGAAAGTAGGCAATGCACCATAATGGCATGCACAACTTATTGACATGGAAACTCATATTGTGATCGCTATGATCTTGGTTTTTAAAGTCGCCACACACCCTCCTTGTAGCAGACAAAGCAACAGAAGAAAGTAGAAGAAATGCATATTAGAGACAGTAAACAGAGGTGTGAGACAAAGGAATAGTAGTGACGATGAACAAAACGGTTTCATTGGAAATCATAAGTAACAAGGAGTGGATGCATCTTCTCCGGCCATTGAGAACGATTTTCAGCTATACCACCAACTGTTTCCAACCAGTGGCGTTTACCGTCCCGAGGACCCCAACCAGTCAGGCAGTCTACACTTTCCTACGTGATTGGCTTAAACTAACTGTTGTAGATTTCATCGACTGGTGCCATGTTTTGGTTTGACCACCACTAGCTAGCTCTTTTCCAGCCTGGTCCTATGTCAGCTAACATTGCATATTGTCGAGGAAGTCGATGACTAGGCATACTTAACACATGTCCTAACCATCTCAGTCGATGTAACTTCACAACCTCGTCGATTGATTTCCCCTGTTTACCTACCACTCGACGCCTTACCTCAATATTGCTCACCTTATTATACCACTTCACACGGGATATAGAACGCAGGCACCTATGATCAATGACAGCTAATCTTTTCATGTTTTCCACTCTTAATGACCGGGTCTCACAGCCAGTCATAAAGGAGGACTGAGCGGATTGATGAGCAGTGCAGACGCCCTTTGGTCGATAGTCGGATATCACGTCTACGCCAGAGACGGCGTAAACTGGCATATGCGAAACTAGCCCTCTGTATCCGTGCTGAGATTTCGTCAGAGATCAACCTGTTGGCATTGGCTGATGCAACTTCCCAAATAAGTGAAGCAGTCAACTAGCTCTATCACTTCACTCCCTACTTCTAAACTAAGAGTCAGTGTTGTCCAGTCCTGTGACATCATCTTGCATTTGACGGGAGCGAATCGCATGCCAAACATTCGTAGATTGCAGCTCAAGGTGTTTAGAAGACTCTGCATTTTGCCAGCGTCCTCGCCTAGAAGGACTATTTCGTCTGCATATTCAAAGCCAACAAGATTATCCCTTGGTAGCAAGTCAATCCCTGAGTCGCTGAAGTGAGTTAAGGTTAAGTGCATCAGTACATCTATGATGAAATTGAATAGAAATGTAGATAATGGGCATCTTTGACGGTCACCACTATTTGGCACCACTTCAGGTGACAACGTGTCGTAAGCTCTCACCTGGCTGGCTGCTTGAGTTCGAATTGAGTGCCTTAATCAGTGCAATGTATTTTCTCAGCATTTTCTCAGCCAAGCATCGCTAGAGTACCTCTTGGTCGACAGAATCGAATGCCTCAATTCCCATGTTGCACTGTGCAATTCGTTGTTTTTAGTTGATATTCAGCATGCTTTAATAATATGTTGATTTCCCCCCTTCCCACCCGCTTTATTTTTAACCCGTTGTCTGTATTTATTATCCTAGACGAATACTGTTTATCGAGAGTATGCTATGGCAATGGCTGCTGTCTCTGATTCAGTCGGTATCTCTGGAGCTGGTTTCTTGGCGATTCCATTGCACAATTGGTTATGTAATCGATTGAAGTAAATCTACCTAAAAGAGAGTTTGAGTGTGATTCGTTTTGTTAACAAAAAATAATTCAACTGCCTTTTTACCTTACTAATATTCTTTTAATGACTTTTTGAGGAAGGAAAAAACAAAAGATATTTTCTATTCTGTGTTTTTTTTATTGATTTTATTTGTGGTGTTGACTATGTCTGAAGGTACTTGGGAGAAATTTGTTTTCATGTGATAGTAGTTGTATTATATTGTGCGTCGGTGGCACAGCGGCTAGGACTCTCGCCGACCATGCACATTGTCCGATGTTCAATCCCCTGCCGACTCACACCTGATATCTATGGTTGGCCTACAAAATTTGGGCTACCGATATCGCATGCTGAAAATTCCATACTTCTACCGAAAATACGGCGGGGAATCAAGCTGTAATCAAAAATAAAAAAAATGAAATTAACCATCCTTATCGTGTGCAGTAATAGAACCCGGGGTTCATTGGTTGAAGAGTGTTGAATACGCGCAAACCACTGAGCCGCATTGCCACTTCTATTATGTGTAAAATATGTGTTGGTTCTTTGTTTTTATCGGTTGGGAGAAAAATAAGATTTCATGCTTCAAATCACTGAAAATATCCATTAAGAGAAATTCAGCCAGAGAAGAAAATTTTCCCAAATCGACGAAATTATCTTCATAGAGGCTGTATAGTGGTATTTATCACTTACCAAAAATGAATTGTAGTCTGTTATTGAGTAATTTTTTGGGGGGGTGGGGGTGGGAGTTTGACATAATTGATATAATTACTCAGGTGTGAACTTTACAAGTAAAAATAAAAGTTGTAAGTTACATGGTACTCAACGGAACAAAGATAGAAGTTTGATAAGGTTAAAATTGCTCTTGAGTGAGAATAAAGGTATTTGAGTGTCAATTTAACAAGTGTGAAGAGGGTGTGAAAATATACAGAAGGGGCATATGAGATTGATAATAGTGAATTAATTATTAAAGCAAAAACAAACTAAAAATAAAATTAAAAAAACATAAGAAAATATCAAAATTTTTTACAGGGAACGAACGATTAGTGAAGAGATTAAGACCAAGGTAGACTGACTAGCACAGCTGCCCAACAAGACTATTGAAGTAATTTCGAGTTTTCCAAGTACTGGTTTTTTTTAAGGAATTTTGTTTGATTGGTTGGGGGACTTCATCATGTGCTGAAATAAGTTAGAGAACCATTGGAAAACCATCGGTCAGTACTGGACTGCCGTTTTGTCCTAGTTTTGGCACTGATCATCAGTACGCACCCACCACAGGGAGTTAGAACCCAGGACCGTGTGGTTACAAGGTTGAAGGTGAGGCAGTTACTCATCGAAGAAGACATTCCGAAGTCGTCGCGCTATGTTATGAATTGGTAGAAGTTAGAATTCATGGGCTGGTCATTGGATGGGGTCTTAGTGGCTTGATGGTCTACAAGCTATCTCGCCTTGTAACGAGAAGGTCTTGTACTCGAACTCCCTGTGGTGGGTGCGTACTGATGAAGAATCCCAAACTAGGACGATCAGTTGTCCAGGACTCCCTGGTGGTTTTCCAATGGTTCTCTAACCGTTATCAGCTCATGATGAAATCCTCCAATTTTGAGTTTTTAATCGCTATTGTTTTTTGACAGAACCATAGATTTTACAGTGAATAGTCATCTTTTCAATGTTTTTGGAGCGTTGTGTGACTGTGTATGTCTCAAGGAAGTTTTGGTTGGCTATACAGTACAACGCAGAGGTCGATTCGCCGCGTTCAGACCATAACATATCGATTTTGATCGTTATACTGACTAAATTCTATAAGTAACTAGTTTATTATTGAAGTCTTCATGTTATAAACATCTGGAGTTATCCTTCACATTCTTTGTGTTAAATAGTCAACAACTTTTCATTCCCTCTATTCGTCATTTTAGTCGATTGCGAAAAATCTTCTCGTTCATTCGCCTTCGTTTGGAAGGATACGAGAATATTGTGACTTGAATAAAGCAAAGTAGTAACAACACATGGAACAGAATCCGATAGGATGCCTTTCGCTTAGTCAACATCTTTTCAACTGCATACAACCTGGGTAATGCAAGTGAACGGTTTCACTAGAATTTTAACATACATATTTAATTCGTTTGAGAAATAAATGTAGGGAAATGTAAAAATAAGAATAACATAAATAATGACAGTAGTGATAGTGATAATAATCATAATAATAATGACAATAATAATGGTAATATTAATGACGAAATGTATGTCAAATATGCGCAAGACAACACCAACAATAAGGAATCTAAATCATCAACAGTAATTCCATACAAGGTAGGAACCTCGGACACCCTACGCAGAATTCTTAACAAGGCAGGAAGGAATAAAAGTGGCATTCAAACTCCACAAACTCAATTAGAAACTAGCTTTGTTGGTTGAAGAATTCTGCAGGTGCAGCCAATGAAACAAACCATTTAGTTTGTATAATACCCTGTTGGAATGAATTTCAAATCAAATATATAAGTCAGAGTAGTAGAACGAAGTCATACCATTATCGCAAATGTTTTGGGAGGAAGGAAAGGTGCCTACCAATTTAAAAAAAAGGTTGGCTACCTTGAATTAGGTCTCAGCAAGACAATTTTCTTTATCGACGAAATCATCTTCACGGGCTGTACAGTCGTATTTATGTTTATTTATATTTACCAAAAATGAATTGTATTCTATTATTGAGTAATTAGGGGACAGGTTGACATAATTGATATAATGACTCAGGAGTGGGCTTTAGAAGTAAAAATAAAAGTTGTAAATGACGTGGTACTCAATGGTACACAGGAAGAAAGCGTTAGAAATGTGGTAAGGTTAAAATTGCTGTTGAGTGCGAATAAAAGTGATGCTTGCTAGTGACTTGCTACAGGACGGAATTTCCTGGAGTGAATTCTATTGCGAAGTCGTTACTAGTGAGATCCATCCAGATGTCACGTGTGAGGATGGATGTCCCACTGATGAAATTGGTTGGTGCCAGTCGCGCTTAATCATGAATTAGTAGCAGTTAGAATTCATCTGTTGAATCAGGTTGGGTCCCAGTGTAGCTGAATGGTATACAAGCCAGCTTACCTTGTAATCGGAAGGTCTTGGGTTCGAACCTTGATGGTGGGTGCGTACTGCCAATGATTCCCAAAACTAGGATGAAACAACTGGCTGTCCAGTACTCCAGTTCTGGTTCTCAATGGTTCTCTAACCGAGATCAATCCGTAGTCAGATTCGTAAGAAGAAATCTAATCCTTACAAACCAGTTCTTGAGAATAAAGGTAGTTAAGTGTCAATTTAACATGTATGAAAATGTACAAAAGGAACGTGTGGGAGTGCTAAATAGTGAATTAGTTATTAAAGTAAAAGCAAACTGAAAGTAAAGTTGAAAATTTAAAATAAATAAACATTTTGACAGGCAACGACCAGTGAAGAGGTTAAGACCATGGTAGAATAAGAAACTGGACAAACTTCTTCTGTATACAGAGTTCGGGGTAGTATTGACGAATTGCCAGAGCCACTGCTATACACAAATGCCGAAACCTGACGTCCTGTGTACCACTTGATCTCACCTTGTAGATGATTTTGAAAGACGACTCAGGTGGAGCTCTGTGGCTTATGTTACGTCTGAACCTGCTAACTGCTAGTAACCATAATGAACTCAACTGGGGTACCCTAATATGCCCATTTGTGTGTTGTACCTTCCGATTCACTGATCCACGCAAATATCAAAAAGACAAACAAAGGCTGGCCTGTGACTGTAAGATACTGTACTGCATATTTATTAGGAAAAAGTCACATGGTATATATACATTTTCTTTACAACAACGAAGTCGGATCGCAGCCGTGAGAAATGATTGATGGCATGAAAATTGAGCTGGGATTTATGCATTAATTGAATTGAATTACTATCGGTTATTGCACCAACTAAGAATAACATGAAATTTGTCTGAACGCAGGGAACCAGTGGCTGCATTCTTCTGTCTGTCTGTATAGCTAATCAAAACTTTCTGAGTTGTTCACAGTTCTTAAATGTCCTGAAGATATACAAAATTACTTCAACAGTGCCGGTTAAGGTAGTTGTGCATATCAAGGGTTTCTTGAGAACAAACAAGTACTGTAGAATAGGACTAGTTAACCGAAATTCAACTGTAGGAAGTACCCGAAAATCAAGTGGGATATTTTCAAAAAGTTGGATTCAAAACTCTGTCCACAAGAATCACACAGCAACTATTCTTTCAGACAGTCCAAGATCAGAATAACCTTGCTTCACTCTCTAACATAACCACAATCGTAAAATGAGACGCAATTGTCAACATCATTGTAGTGGTGTGATACAGAAAACATATTCCAGCGGAATATTATTCTCACATATTCCCTCAGTTCAACACTGCATTAGCAACAGAATACTATATACGTTTGTGCCGGTGGGTTGCCTTACACTGTAACCTTTGGTGTCGCTAACTGCCGACAAATGAAAAGCATATACTCTGCAGTTGTTGATTAAGGATCCATATAGATCTTCTTGCAGGACCTCAAGGCTGTTGTGAATGGCCTTCAAGATCCATCAGCGAAGGTTTTTTTTACTTGGAACGCTTCTGAGAGGTCGAGTGAAGGCAGCATATGATATAATGTGAGGCGAATATGCTCCAGGGTCACACAGACTGCTTCCAAAGTGGAAGGACCCACACGGTCACGTATATGCTACCAGAAATGCGAACAAAGAGAAGTGGCTGAACGTCAGTGGGCTCCAAAACTCGATACATTAAGACAAACAAGCAAAGACGCCAGCACCAAGAGTATCGAACTGACTTCAGTCGAAAGTATTTGATTGGGGGACGAGTGTGGTGATGGTGTGATATAGACAATGGTTTCCGACGGAATATTATTTCCACAGTTCAACACTGTATTAACAACAGAATACTATAAACGTTTGCTCCGCTGGCTTGCCCTCTGCTGTTATACAGACACACACAATCGCAAAGAGAAGCATCTAGATTAGGG